TATTGGCATTTTTTGTATACATTTTCATTTGTTTTCCATTGATTGCTGATGGTCAGTGAAACAATGCAAAAAATAATATATGGCATATATCACAAATATTGTATAAAATGCGCGCAACAGCGCAAACAGCAAATGCAATGCTTCTTCATCAACTTCCGTGGTTAATTGAAAAATTTTAGCGCATAAAATGCATACAAATGCATGTAGTTATGTATCATATACATATATAGTGGTGTTGTTGTGCACCGCTGGCCACTGCACAAAGCCTGCTGCTAATTTGTGTGTGTGTCGTGCTGTTAATGTAATATAAACAGTTAAAGCGCAGTTAAAAGCACGTGACTCATTTTTTAACTTTTAAAGTTGCTGTGGATTTACTCAAAATTCGTGGCAAATCGAAATTAGTCTATACTAGCAAAATTCTCAACATACATACGCATATGTATACGCCATTAAAAAAACGCTACAAATTCTCGTCTGTGCGCGCTCTCAACAGAAAGTAAATAAAAACAGTTAGCTGCACATCTCTGTGTATACATATGTAAGTATGAATGTACCAGCTTATTGACTGCATTCAGTTAAAAATGCATTTTTGCATTTTTCCTTTAGCAATTTCTCCAATCAATTTCCATGTATGTAAATGTACGATTGGGCGCCAGTTGGTCTCAGTGCTTTTAAATTTCAACAGACGCGTTTAATTGATACAACACATGCGGCCAACTATGAGCAGTTCGGTCTATTCGCTTTTTCTATTTTTTTTATTTTTCAATTTTTTTTTTTTAGTTTTACTTTTTTCTATTTGCACATTTTTCGTGCGCTTTTTGCCGCTTTCGGCTTCAAACGTACTTTTAGGCATGCTGGCCAACTGTATATATATATACTTCCTTTGTTAGTTGCTGTTGCTGTTGTTGTTGCCGGTCAGAATGTGCCTCGGGTGTAAAGTCAATAAAATATTGTACACCCAGGAGAACTGGCGCGCTATGCGCTGCGTAATTTAACTGTACACACGCAGCCGTTCACCCGCCGATCAGCACAGCCTCGTACAAACATTCAGCTCGTATCGGTTGCCCTGCACACCAGTGCTCTTTGAGATTTTTGCACACTAGCTTTATAGTTTTTATTGCTTCAGTTTTGTGTTTTTTTTTTTGTTTTGCAATTTTGTATTTTTTTTTTGTTGCTATTTTGTATTTTTTTTGTTGCAAATTTTGCGCTTTTGCAATTTTATTAACTTCAGGAGCTGTTCAACGCAAAGCCAATCTCCAACACTGATTCGTGCAACCAATAGCAACATCAACACCATATCCATCGGTCCCATTGGCTTTGCAATGTTCTTTTCAACGATTTTGACTGCTGCACTGCTATGTGGTCTATCCTGGCTAGCATTTACACATTTGACTGTTTGTACTTGTTCTTGTTGCTGTTGCTAATGGTCATTCCTCGCTATATCCATTGTATTCAGCACTGAACGCTCATAATTTTGTTGTTCATGCGAATTAAAAAGTCTGCACCATTTTTTTGCACACACAATTTCATGGAGGGTCACTTGTTTCCTTTTCAATTACAGTTTACTTCGACTTTGTGCGTTAATTTAGTGTGAAACGTTTTCATTATTCACGAGCATTGGACGTTTAGTCGGAGCATTGTTGAAAATATTAAAGTTGTCGGCAAATGTTGAAATTATTAAGCGCGTGCAAATTAGTTTCGCGTCGGCCGATTAAAGTAAATAAAAAAATAAAGTATAAAAAAAGTTCCTCGTAAAATCCGAAATAACCTTTTATTATCAAATATTTTTCACTCTCAAAGTCGTGTTAAATAGGTACGTAAAGTAGCTGTCTGACGACGCAACTAGGCCTAAAGGAGGCCCATTATGATACCACCGTGACCAAAGTCCCCTCACTCTATCTCCTCTCCTCTCTGAACCAACCCGAGCTTCTGATGACGTTCAGCACTACAAATAGTTTTATGTGCGCAACTCCCTCGACCGATAGTTACGACTCTTTTCCTGTATAGCGCCTTACATTCGCATAGAAGATGTTTTACAGTCTGCTCTTCTTCTGCCTTCTGACAGCTTCTACAATAGTCATTGTAAGGTGCACCTAACCCGCTGGCATATCTACCAATTAGAATTCATGTTATATTATTTGAAATTTAATTTGATTTAATAATTATATATTATATATTATAAAGTATTTTAAATTTTAAACCTTCTCATTGACATTTTTTTATATGAAAATCGTTTCTGTTTTTTCTTAGGGGTACATTGGGACTGATTGTCGCTGGTGTGGCGATACTCTGGTGCGCTATCTCCGCTTCGAAACTATTCGTTACGGCGTACTCCATGGACCATCAACAAGTGCTGATTGCGTATCCGTGCGCTCTCCTGTATGGCGTCTTTGCTTTGATTACGATTTTTTGAAGTACACAAAATTAACAAATCTAACATAATACTATAATAGTGGCCTAATAACCTCAATATAAGAATCTATATTAATAATATTAATGGCATTAGCAAAAATTGGCGAGCTAATAAGTAGGAAATGCTGAACGAAACAACATTTTGGAAATTGTTAAGCGAGAAAAACTACATATATTATTACTGAATTCATATTTTATAATAAAAGGAAATTGAAAAAATTAAATTACAGCACACTACATATACATATGCATATGCAGCTATGTAAAACTAACATGGAAGTTGTCTAAAGTGTCACAGGTATGTTTCATATTTATTATTATATTTTACGCTGATTTATTTAATTTTTGTTTTTGTAATTGTTAAAAAGTGTTCTTTAAGAACTCAAAGTTGGCTTACTGAACAATGCTGTACCGTACTGTACTGCCAGTTGTCTTTAAGCAATTTGTTTTGCTAATATGCTCAGTCTTATAAGCCATTTGAGTGATGAATGTTGTTGCTGAAAATGAAATGCATTCATATTCTGTAATAATTCTCAGTACGCTCAATTATTTAGAAACTTTTTTGCAGCTCAAGTTTAAATTTTTTCCATTTCATTTAAATTTGCTGCTTTGTCGTTTATTGAGACGCAAAAAAGTGTAACCAGCGAACATGAAATAGTCATGAAAAAGAAAGGACTTAAACTCGTTGATTTAATTTGAAAAAAAAGAGAGAAGAGAAGATCGCCCAACCAAACACAATAATAATAATTATTATAATTTATTTATTATAACGTAATATATGAAATTGAGTAAAGTTTGCTGGCTTAAAATTTTTTGCATGCTGACTAGCACTAGCACTGCTAAACTAGCTTTCGATAAATTCTCATTTCATATGCTGCCTACGGTTTATACGAGTACCTAAAATAAGGTTTTATGTTTGCAACTGCGCAGATTTTGGCATCTTAAGGGGTTACATGGGTTTCGTCGAGCAAAAAACGCCCTAATTTCAATAATTTTTTTTCATATAAAAAATGATATATTTTATTCAAACTTTTCATTATACCGAAGATACATATTTGATAAAGATTTTGTAAAATTTTGAGGGAAAAATATTCAAAACTCGGTCATTACGACGCCATTTCCGGCAGTCCCACGGTAAAAACGCGTTTAAAGTTTTAAGTGACTACATAGCTGAGCTCGAGCGCGCTACTTTCCAAAGCTGTATCTCCAAAACTTACTGTGCTCAACACAACTAAATAAGGCAATAATTTTTTTTTGCTTTTTGAAGCCGTGAAACCCATATTACCCCTTAAACGAAAACGGTATAAATTTCTTGTCATTAATTTGTTTGAGTATTGGCTCAATATTAGCTTAAACTTACCTTCTAAGCAGTAAGTAAATATTTTTGGTGTTGTGTATTTGTGTGCGATCGTCTATTTATGTGCATATGTATCTGCCGTTATGCTAACTTGGTTTGCTCTCTTCAATTATTCGAAACGTTTATTTTTGTTTTTGTCGTTGCTTTCGCTTTTTGCGATTCGTTCAATTGGAAATGTTGGTTAATTGAGTTTTTTGCTATCGAAGTTTTTTGTTTTATTTTTGCATTATACATTTTTTTTGCTAAAGCATAAAGGTAGCCAATTTTTGCTTTGTTTGCTTTTCACTGTCATTTGTTTGAATTTTTTATTTCTGTTGATTTTTTATCACTGCTCCTGCCGTTTTTGCTTTCTACCTTTACATACATACTTGTAGATATGGCCGTTAAAGTTTTTAAATTGTTTTTGTTTTTTTGTTGTATATTTCTTTCTATTTTTAATTTTTTTTAGTGTAAATTCAGGACATTTTAGTGCCGAATCAATGAACGTTTACGCACACACATATTCATACGCATTTATGAATTCACAGTTGAAATTGAAATTGCTAAATTTTATAGGCCTTTCGAAAATATTAAAGCTTTAAGAGCATTGCTCTGAATTTATTCAGACAACTTTTATTATGTTAATGTGTGCATTAAATAATGCATATAATTGGTGCTTGAACTCTGCTAGATGTTTGGTCATGTTTCTTCTGCTTTCCGTTTGTTTAAAAGCGCACTTTAAGTCATCTGACAAAGCTTCAGTGATCTAAAAGGTTTAATCTACATTCGAACCACTGCTGTTCTACATATATGTGAAGCTTTTTATGGCGCAACTACACTCGGAGATCTAACATTGGAACCACTAGAAGAAAATAATCATTTAATGCTTTTTTTGTAAACTCAGCACGCCAGTTGCTGCTCCCATCACCACGTCGGCCGCCACATAAATTAACAGCTTGTTCTCAGCAATACTTAAGCTTTCTTGCTGCACAACATGAATGCACGCATTGTCGCTTCTCAAATATCCGCTGTAGTGTAAGGTAAATGAACTCGTACGTTTGCAACCGACGCTTTTCTACGCGCTTTATCTCTGCCGTAGTCTGTAGGCTCTCGCTGGACAGAAAATAAAAGTGATTAGGCACCAGGCTTTATAAATGTTTAAGATAATCAGTTATTTATACGCGTGTGGCAAATAAAACAACACGCTTGCAGCAAGCAAGTTTTGATGGTTGAGTGCAATACAAAGAGCTCTTATCAACTCGTTTTAGCTAGTAGGCTGACAACAGTCGGCCAGTTTGGGTGCAACTGTAAGCTAACGCTTTTATAAAGTTTTGAAAAATTATATACAAAAGTGCTACAAACTTCTTAAAAAGTAGAACAAAACAGTTTTAGTACCGAAAGTGAAATATAATGACGAATGTTGATCTGCAACGCGAGCGGCTGTGTGCAACCATTTCGAGTAAAGACTTTGCGGAGTGGTGGGCAGGTGGTCGCGCTGCACTACACGCACGCAGAGCTTTAGCTAAGCTTTTCATAGAGGATGCCGATTTGACGGACCCCCAACACACATCGCTGATGTCGCACAAAGAGCTTTATGAGTACACAATTGCGAAAGCTTGCAAATTTCTTAGCAAACTGCGCGCATGGCATGCAGCCAATGCTCACAGCAAAGCCAATGCAGAGCAGAGCGCGATTGCAATGCTATATGATTTTCGAATGCTGCTGGCTGGTCCATTGGGTACGGCGTTGTTTCAGCAAAACTTGCCGCTGCGCTTGCATTTTTCGATGTTTTTGCCAGCATTGTTGGGCCAAAGTACGGAGGCGCAGCAACGTGAATGGTTCTTCCGCTTGGCGCATGGACGGCATTATCGGCACGTATGCGCAAACGGAGTTGGGGCATGGCACTTTTATACGCGGACTCGAGACAAGCGCCGATTACGATGTGCAAAGTGAAGAATTCATTTTGAATACACCAACGCTAACGGCCTACAAATGGTGGCCCGGTGGTTTGGGTCAAAGCGCCAACATGGTAATTGTCATGGCGCAATTGTATATAAAAGGGAAACATCACGGTTTGCATTCATTTTTGTTGCGCATACGTAATGCAGACACACATCTGCCGGAACCGGGTGTAGATGTGGGCGAGATCGGACCAAAGTTGGGTGTGAATGGTGTGAATAATGGTTTTCTGGGGCTAAAGGACGTGCGCATACCGCGCACGCAAATGTTAATGAAACATGCACAGGTGCGTCCTAATGGACGCTTTGTGAAAGGGCCCGAACCGTTGCTTACCTATGGTACCATGGTGTTTGTGCGTGTAATGATCGTGCGCGATGTTTCCTTCTGTTTACTACAAGCGGCTACGATAGCAACCAGGTGAATGGGGTGAAAATATGGCAAATTGCATAAATTTTTAAGACACTTTACCTTTTATTTGACGTGTAGGTATTCGGCAGTACGACGTCAGAGTCCAATTGCAACCGACCAAACTGAGCCACAAATATTGGATCATACCACTCAACAGGCGAAGTTGTTTCCACAAATCGCAAATGGTATATTCTTTCGTATTGCAGCGGACGTTGTATGGGTTATGTATCAAAATGTTGTGAAGGAATTGGATGCGGGTGAGCGTCGCAGCCTGCCCGAGCTACATGCTTTGTCCTGCTGCCTCAAAGCATACTGCTCAACGGTGTCCGAAGAAGGTGTTGAAGTGCTACGCAAATCCTGCGGCGGTCACGGTTATTTGAGCTCGTCAAATTTTCAACAAATCTATGGAACCGTCACTGCCGCATGCACTTACGAAGGCGAAAATACGGTTTTATTGCTGCAAACTGCACGCTTCCTCGTCAAACAATATGTGGAGGGCCTGAAACGGAAAGTACTGCCACAAAGCGTCAGATATCTGCGTAATGCAACGCGTCCTAAATGGTGTAATACTATTGAGCTAAAAATGCTAACGGAACTCTTGGAGTTTACGGCTACCGAAAGCATTCGTACGCTTTACGAGTATCAAAGACAACAGCGTAAACTTTTGAAATCGGCAGTGTTAGTGGCCAATAAAGCTGGCATACGTTTGACACAGGTTGCCACGTTACATGCACGCGCATTTCTAGCACGCACCGCATTGGAAGAGCTCGAAAAGTTTTGTAAACACCTGAAACCTGTTTTGGCGGACGTTCTCACGCAGTTGGCTGAGTTGTTCGTACTGGAATTGTGTTTGAGTAGTCTGGGTCACATTTTAATGTCTTATCCGTTAGACACGCGACAAGTCGATCAGCTGCAGTCTCGCTACGAACAGTTGCTGGCGGACTTTCGTGTCAATGCCGTCGCTGTGGTCGATGGTTTCGATTTCGACGATCGTGTGTTGGGCTCCACCTTAGGTTGCTATGATGGACGTGTCTACGAACGTCTGATGGCGGAGGCGCGGAAAAGTCCCTTGAATCAAGAGTCGGTTAATAGCACATTTCATACACACCTTAAACCGTTAATGCAAGGCAAATTGTGAATACTTGTCGCCTAGAAATATGCTTTATTGTTAAAGTAGTTAACTGAAAATTAGTTTAAGTGCGAAAGAAGGCACTCTGCAGCATGAGATCTGTCTCTGTAAGTTCACTGTTTTATTAGTCTTCATTTCCCATAAGGTATATGGTGTCTGCTTAGACTTTCTTTGCTTATATTTGTTTCATGTCAAGCCTTTTATATTTTCTTAAGCTGCGAACAACACAATAAAATTTTCTTTTAATTATGTTTAATTAACTTTTTTTTAATAATATGCAGACTGCTTGAAGTATAATGGCCAGTTCACATAGAACTTTTGCTGCGCTTTGCCTCAGACATTTGTTTTGACAGAAAAGTTCGATGTACGCTTTTGTATGAGTGCATTCACATAAAAAGTTTTCGACGCGAAGCCAAGCAAAATGTTGGGCAGCTTCGCATCTTTTTACGCTTTGCCAAGCAACCGTCGCCCATTTTTTTTATTAGAGAAACACACGAAAAGCAAAGTGTGCATTGCGGCATACCCGTTGTTTGCTGCGCTTCGTTGTTTCAGTATGCACTGTCACGCAAAACGCGCCAAGTTGTATGTGAATGGGCCTTAAGTCTCACAGAGTTTCGTTTCAAACAATGTCACTCCGCTTGCGAAAATTGCTTTGTCGCATTATTTTGAAATTTTGAGACTTCTAAAAATAAGCAAAATTTACTCTTTTGTTGTTGCTGTGAATGTGTGTGCGTATGTTTGCCCATTACTTAGTGAATGCATAACTTTATGTATAAATATTTAAATTTGTGAAATTTTTCACTTCTTTCGCCATTATTTTTTTTTCGTGACTGTATTCGTTTGTGCGCAAAGTTTTTTGCTCCGTTATGCAAATAACCGTAATAATGAAATATAAATTTACGCCTGCTAATTGCAGCGTGTAAAAAGCAACTTCAGTCAGCGCACATTGTCTTCCTCACTCCTCACTGCTTGCCATGAACGCCCCATAATTCCGCTTGCTACCTTTACATCCGTTCCGCACGCTGCGACTACGTACAAAAAGTGCTTCCGTCGCCTTGTCGTCGTTAACCGAAACAGAGTCAGACGGTCGGTCAAACGTTGCGTTGTTTGCGTATTTGCGTAATTAATAAAGGACTCGTTAGTGCGTTGCCATATTTTGTATTTTTTCGGTTGTTCACACAGTTTAACTTTTGTTTTGTTTCCCCTTTCGTAATTTTTATGCAAAAACTGGTTATTGCTGCTGAGTAAATAATGAAAATTAACGCATATTCGCTTGCCACTCGCCAAACCGTCACTTCCGCTTAGCAAGGCGCACAAACACACAAACACACACACGCAGCATCCTGTGTTTATATGTATGTGCACAGCTACATTCCGTTACATGCTTAATAAATGTAACGAAAGCAATTTATGCCGCAATCCTTTAATTGCCATCAGCATTGTTGCTTTGTTGTTGGCTAAAGGACTCTTTCGTTAAAGCGAAATGAATTTTATAGCGTTCCGCTTTTCCTTTTGCTAATTAGCTGGTTTTCGCATTTTTAATATGAAAACGCACTAATTATGAGGGTTGAGTTGTTGTTTAGCTGTGTAGTTTGTTGTTGCATGTTGCAATTTGTTCGCTTTTGGCGTGTTGTTGCAACACTTTGGATTGTACATTGCATGCATTAAAATATTCGCGGTTCGAGAAATGCTCAGCTGAATGATTATTCGGTTTTTTGTTCCCCCTCTTTTTTCAATTTCCGCCACAAAGCTCTTCATTAGTGGAAGAAAAGCTTACAAGCCACATCTTATACAATATTTTATATTTCCTTGCAGTTGTAGTAAATTAAAAATAGTGCAATGCTTCTTTGTTGTTGGCTTGCAATTTACATTTTATGTTTTCTTCATTATTTAAATGCGAACTAGTTCACACTTATAGGTTTTAATTATTAGAAGGTAGATATAAAAATGTTCAAATGCTGACATTTGCTAATGACATGAACCATTTTAATTTATATAAAAACAAGTAAGGAAGCGTTAAGTTCGCATGTAACTGAACATTTTATACTCTTGCAAAGTCAAATGGTATACTCGTTTGAACAGGGGCTTGAACAGTTTTGGTTCGATTTAGACAATTTTTGGTCATTATTCACACAACGTTTTACTCCGATAGAATCATTGTTGCTTGATTTGCATAGTGGAAAGTGGATAGAATCAGATGGAATTTAAAATGGTGTTATATGGGAAATAGGCGTGGTCCCCCATTTTCGCACTATAACATAGAAATTTGAGAAGCATGTTATGTACCGAGTTTGGTTGAAATCGGTTAAGTAGAACTCAAGATATGGGTTTCCACCTACGGGGAGAGACCACGCCCACTTTAAAAAAAAATTTTAAATGCAGATGCTCCTCCCTAATGTGATGCTATATACCAAATAACAGTCTGGTATCTTATTGCGGAGTTTAGTTATGGCAATTTATTTGTTTTTGATTGGTGGCGTTTTGTGAGCGTGGCAGTGGTCCGATTACGCCCATCTGTAATACCAACCGTCTTACGGTACCAAGAAACATGTGTACCATAGAGATATCTCAATTTTAACTCAAGTTATAGCTAGCACAGACGGACGGACAGACAGTCACGCGGATTTCAACTCGTCTCTTCATCCTGATTATTTATATATATATAACCCTATATCTGACTTGATTAGTTTTAGCTGCTACAAACAACCGTTAGGTGAACAAAACTATTATACTCTGTAGCAACAGGTTGCGAGAGTATAAAAACGAGATGAATGTGTCTAATGTTGAACAGAAGCCAAGCAAATATTTCTTATCGCTATAAAGAAGTGTTGCCGCTAACGAGTCTTGGCTACAACTACATACATTGCAACTGTTATAACATCGATGTTAAAAAAATTTGTACTCAATTTGGACAAAAGCTTAGTTTACAATGTTTTTTCATTCCTTATTCACCTATAAATGGAGCATTCTACTAGTTTTGTGCCGCGTTTGAATTACCAATTGATTTTGCGAGGACTTTGTCATGTCAGAAATATGTACAATCGGAGATTTGCCTAATTTTCTAAGTTCGATCGAAACTCCGTATGGTACTCACGCACTTTACCTGCTCTGCTCCGGTGGTTTCAGGCAGCCAGTTGATTTTATATAATATCATTATCATTATCGTACATGCGAAACATGGTAATGTATGCGAGCTTGCGAACCAAGTAACTCCTAAACCAGAGGCAAAGACTGGCTTTTCGTTATTGCTATTATTTGACACAGGACAAAGCAAGTTTTGAGTTATGACTCTCTTCTAGTGAAACGCATTGTAAATTTATGCACTTAGTGCGAATTGCTTGTTGTTGCGCCAAAGAAGACTTGAGAGAATTACAAAAATATTTGCAATTACCACTTTGAAGTGCGGTTGCTGCAAGTCGACAACAGCCAAATTGAGAAGCTCATAAAAAAGAAATCAAATGTTTAACAAAATAACAAAACGATGAACTCACGTCGTTGAGACGCTCCGATTGCTGTTGTCTAATTGTTTAAGATTGTTACAGTTGTAATTGAATTGATAGCGAGCCACAAGGCGAGCAAAACAAGGAGTCTAGCAAAACAACTACGAATACAAGCGAAAATAGACCAAATGTGCTTACTGCACACTCTCACACATGAGAGCGCCGGCGAGCGTGTGTTTGTGTTTGCTTGAGTGCATGCCATGGCAGGCGAAGAGTCGAGCGGTGCTCACATGAAGCAAAAGTGGTTAACAGAGATTTCATTCGAGTTCATTCATCCAATAAAGCAATGAAAGCAGTATATTACGAGGGAGTAAGGGAGTGTACAGGGGAAGCAACAGAATTAAGAATTGTGCGTAAAAAAGAAACAAGTGATAATGATGACCATAGTAGGGCGTACGAAACTTTTAAGTGAATTACGGAAACTCTGCAAACGCTGGAGCGGTGTAAGCGGGGTGAGTGGGGTAAGCGGGGCGGTTAAATGGCAGTTTATGGACAAGAGTGATTTTGCCAATCGCCAATAACTGCATGACTGAGCATGTGCGGATGTGTGTGTGTGTGTGTGTGTGCACTAATTGGGAAAACAAAAGCAACAATAATAAGAACGCGGCATAAAGCATTGAAGTTGCTTGGCGATGGACGCGTCGGAAAAGTGGTTGGCAACGCCTGTAAGTATGCCAAGCCTTGCGATCAAATGAATTTTGTATGTAACGCGGCAATTGTTGTATTTGTTGACTACTTGATCCTTTAATTCCGCAACTAATTGCCAATCGCATTCGACACTTAACATGACTTCTTCGCCTTTGATGGTCAACAGTTCAACGCTTCCATATATGTGTGTGTTTGTGTGTTTGCGTGCTGTGCGCTTACACAATAGCCAGTGCGCTGCCAGAGCGTGGTGACGTCGACTGGATGGCCAGTGAGTTCACGACGGATGAAAATCTTCAAATTTCGTTTAAATAAGTTACTGATGTTTAGGGCGTGTGAGTGGGCGGCCATCCGTTAAACCCGGTCGTATGGCAAATCGGCCAGTTGTGAAGTAAGCTGCCTAAGAGCTTTCCTGCTGCAGTCCCGCCGCCCAACCATTGGCCTGTCAGCATTTGTTTTATTTATTTTAATTCTTTTTCCCTTTTCTTCATCCGCAGAAATTCAATTAAAAACCACCATAACTTTTGTACGCCTTGTGTATGTGTGTGTGTGTGTGTGCTGGTGTTGGTGTTGGTGTTGGCGTGTGCACTTGGATTTAATCAGCATCAGGAATAAGGATTGTGCTAAACTACATTTAATACCCAGTAAAGTGCAAATATATGAATGTTTTTAACCGCACACACACACACACATACGTGCTTTGCTGTTTTTGTATATATGTATGTAAGCGCTGGTTGCATGCTAGTGTGAGTGAGCTTGAATTAAATGGCTGTAAGTTCTTTGTCGACTACGACTACGATTGGGCGATAAGACAGCAGCTCTGCTATGCCAGAGGTCATTTTGCAATCATGTAACGGTAGCGGTAAGCCAAAAAGGGCAAAGGCAACGGACGAAGTAAAGTTGCAACATGTGGCCCCGGGTGCCTGAAGTGTAAGTTGAATGCAGTAATTTGGTTGGCAGTACTTTACGGATTAAATTAAATTGAAAATAAAAATTGATTTCCAAAAGAATCTGTTGCCAACTTATCGGCGTCAAGTGGTTTTATAGCAACGATAGCGACATGTATGATCATGTGTGTGTATG